AAAATTTCTACAACCACGGGCATACTTGGCATATCAAGCTCGACAAACGCTACTTGGCGCTTGTCCGATCACGCTTCACTTCAATGCCAAGTTTACAAACCAACTCGACCTTATCGATAGCAAGAAAGTGTCGTGGTCTAATCCTCTACCAAATACAACCTTGGCTGTGCGGTTGAATACAACATTCACGCCAAGCCAATACATTCAATGGGTAATGCAAACTTGTCGAAAATCGGCTAAGTTCTGTATTCTCACGATTCACTCTATTTCCAAAGCAAGTTGCCTACAAAATCCGACGTGTAAGAAAACACTCGTAACAGAGCTCCTGAAGCTGTACGAATCTCGGAAGGTCAACACTTCACAAAGCACCATGAAAAACGCTTCGTTTCGGGGAAACAACTTACGCGACCTCTCGGTCCTAATTTCTCTAGCACGAAACATAAAACTACTTAACATCCAAGCAGGAACATGAGTTTTGGTTGCGAATATCCGCAAACGAACCAAAATGTTCCTGCAGAGCAGAGTTAAGACAAAACCCTCACAACACTGCGCAACATCCTCGAGCCCGCACACGTTTTGAACACGAAATGCGGCATAGGAAATAAAAAAAATCTTCGGCATTGCGAGACGTCGCAGACGCCTGAAGAACAGTTTTTCGACACAAATACCTTCCTCGATAAAATCACTTTCTTGGAAGACCCAACAGTCCATCCACGACTATAAAACATACAAAACTTCTTAACATACGTATCCTTCGCGAAGGCCCAAAAAACGCTAACATCTATCACCTAAAAGTTTGTTGCTGATCACAACAAACTCGCAACAGTCCTAAACAAACTTAAGTTATCTCGCAGAGATAGCTCTCGAACACCCGACACAAGGGTAATAGCCCTATAAAAGAAATCCAAACTTTTGGTCAGCACTTCCGGGCAACTTAGAAATTGTTCCCGGTGAGATGCTCGGTTCCAACCAGACGAATCGTATAAGCCGATAACCTATCGCGGATTCTAAATCGGTATGGAATCAGGTTAAAATCGCAACAGGCAAAACGAAAGACGACTAGTCATCGCATAGCCTCAATCCGAAAGTAAATTTAGGTCTTGCCCTAAACCCAGCACACTGGTCTCTAACGTCTCAAGGCATGAATCGAGATCCTAAAGGCATGTCTCTTCGTCTATATCTAAACGCTCACTCGATTTACTAAACATCCTAAGACGAGCAAACGAATAAGGCGATCCACAAAGGAAAAGGAATGCGAGACGATAACTCGTGGACCTCCCTCAATATCAACTCACATTCCTCCCTCTACATTCATACGAATAAAAACACGCTCTTAAAAACACAAACTGATTTATAATAAAGCTGCAAGGCGGCAGGGACTCAGAGCCGCACACGGCCAGTCCGAAAACTATAACGGCCACACTCGGCCATAGCAAACAGCCCACGAGGCTAGTCTCATGGCCGGAAAAGGTCCAATACACATAACCATACTGTAAAGGTCTTGCTAAGAAAACATGGCATACGAACCTTAACTCCAGAACGAACTACGAAAGGCTTGATCCCTTCAATAGGGTATGTAGGCAGCCTTCACAAGGCGCAGCACTAATCCTAAACGCTTTCCACTCCCTGGAGAGTGGAAAGATCACTTTCAACGGACCTTTCCAACCATTAATTCCGCCTAACTCACCTAAAACTGGCTAACCACTCGCAAGAACCTCACGCTAGATGCTCAAGGTTCTAGCGAGCTGGGGGGCTAACTGTTGGTGTCAAAATCGGTCACGACGGAATCAACGGCTAAAATTTTCCGTAAAAATAAAAAGATGTTTTATAAAACTCGAGAAGCCGTTTTATAGAATTCTAAGAAATTTCCAAACAAAGGAAATCCGCGGAAAACTTGGAAATCATCGTCTCGGAAGGACGAACGAAACAAACGCCGATTACACGATTGTTCGAGTTAAGCACAAAACCGCGAAAAACCGCATCCGTCGTAAACCTCGAGCAGGTTTGACCGAACCAAGTTCAATGTACGATGAGCCGAACCAACCGGTTCTGCTCGCCGTACGGCGAACTGGTCGGTCCCGGGCCAGCTCGCGTACGGCGAGCTGAACCAACCCGGTTCGGCTTGCTGTACGTCAAGCTGACTGTCCCGTGCCTTGACCTCCCACGTCCTCGACTCAAGGCATACATCCTTCGGTTCGATCGTGTTGTGAACCACGGTTGAAATGTCTCTCGTTTCATCTCAATTCGTCCTATCATTCAAGTTTACGATAAAAACCATAAAGTCTTGTTTTCTCAGAAGAACTCAAAGAAATCGTATAAAACGGCAACGGTTAAATGAAACGCCGAACATTGCCTAACTATACGATTTACTCGAGATTTTTTCGTGAAGAATCGTAAAAAACGTGTTTTTAATAAAACCTTGAGTAAATCGTAGAAAACGGCAACGATAAACCGAAACATCGAACATTGCCAAACTTTTCGATTAACTCGAGAAACTTATTTAGAAAACGGCATCGCATCAGGAAACGATCTCGTATAAAGTCATAAAACGGTTTTATCACAAAACAGCTCGAAAAGTCCTAAAACGCGATAAAATCCTATCTCGCGACTTTAACGAAGTCTAGCCCAAAGATACGACGACGTTTTTACGATTTAGTCGCAGAAAGAAGATAAATGTCAAATTTGAAGATAAATGTCAAGTATGAGGATAAATAGAAGATTTCCGCGGGAAAAAAGGAAAGATAGAGATAAATAGAAGATTCTCGATAAACTTGAATCTGGGCGAAATGGAAGGACTAAACCGCCTAGGAAGGGAGTATATAAGCAAGAGGCAGGGGACAGAAGCAGAGGACGAATTTCAGAGCTCTCATCTGTGACTTTTACAACTTTTCTAGACTTAGAATTTTCCGCACTTAGAAACTTAGGTTTTATTCTCGACAAGTTTGGTTTCTATGACTGGCGCTCAATTGCTAGACCGAACTCGCCCAGGAAGTTCGATCTCTTGTCCAGATCTACCAATTGAACTACGTTCGACTTGATCCTCGAAAGAGGTACGTAGGCAGCCTTTCATAAGGTTCAGTCTGAAATCAATCAAACTCTCTTTTTCTTATTTATTTTGGTCCTTTGTTATCGAGCTGCGACTCGACTAGATTTAGGGTTTTATGTTGATAATTCGCTGATGGCCCCTGCTGCCAAAGCCTTTGTAAACTCTTGTAATGATCGCAACGCTCTTACACGAAATCGAAATAAGTTCTACTTTCTCTATAAATTTGTTTTATCATGTTTTCCATATTTTTTGCATTTATTTGGTTACTTGTCGTTGGCTTTCGCAGAGATCTGGTTCATCTGGAAAATTAGGATTTTCCTAAGTTTCCTTATTTTACGGAAATCAACGGTGTGAATTTTTGTTTCCACAAATAATATATAGGGGAATGATTTCTCTAGTTGCACTCATTTGGACCCACAGTTGTAATCTCTAGTTGTACTGATTTATCATTCATAAATGGTGAAGAAATTTGTTATATTCCTCAATTTCATTGGTTCATTCAACTATTTATCATTTATATAATCTAGTATATGTTTCTCTTGTATTAACCCATAATCTTCCTGTGATGGATGAAACACACACAAGAGTAATAGTTTACAATATAAAAGAACAAAATTTAAGTTGGCAACCACATAAGAAATTAGAGAAAACAATTTGTTTAAGATTCTCGAGGATGAAGAGTTCCAAATTTTTCCGTAGAGCCGGAACGTAGCAGACCAGCTAGCTGTAAGTGTTTGACCTTCTTATTTAATAACTGTTGGAACTATATTAGAACTCAATTTTAATACTTCAAATTATGTTCATGTTCTCATTAAATCCAGTTTCAACGGGAAGACAACTGTAGTCTTTGCCTTAACCATTTTATTTCGGCTGAGTTTGTGACAATTTAAAAATGCGCTGTGTGTCAAGGGGACAAATAAACAAAGTTTTCATTGCTTTAAGACTTTGTATCATGTGAACAAAAAAAGACTTTGTATCATATATGACTACATCTTACTTAACAATGATATACACAAGAAAGTATGATTATATATTTGTGTTATGTGAAAAAAATAATGTTAGTGTTCTGAAAACTAACATTTTATGTCACTTAGGTGCTAGGCCACCACTCCTCTTCTTTTTTTTTGTAACGAATGAACACAGCTATTTGTTTTTGTTGTTCAGTTTATGAATTAAAAGACAGATAATAATCTGGTCTAGATTTTATGTGCATAAATACTCCATTTTCGAAATGTAAATCTATGCTATTAATTATAAAAAACATAC